AGTGCAGGGACCTGAGGAGCAGGGGTGCCTCGCCTCGCTTGTCCCTCTGTGCAGTGGGCCAATCACAACACTGCCCCCAGTTGCTGTTCTGAGGGTGGTGGGAGATGTTGCCTGTACAGTGCTTAGCAGAGCTCAAGGGCATCCGTTTCGATTGCCTCCAACATCCCACTTATGTGGGAGACATTTTCCTGGGAAGGGTCTAGGCCACAGCTGTCAGAGCCCTGTGGGGTCTGCAGCTCAGCGACTCTGACATGATGCTCAGGGACACCCGCTCAGTCACAGCAGACTCAGGATCTCAGCCAAAGCTGAGAGCTCAGGGCTCCCAGGCTGGTGGGTGAGATGGGATCCTAGCAACTCCGCCCTCCAGAGCTTCTTGGGGAGTCCAGGCCCAGGGAGCCAGGGTGTGGGTACCGCTCCCCGAGCCCCTCCACCTAATCTGATGGTAAGCAAGACCTGCTGTGGTTCTTGCCCTCAAAACTTGTGGCCTTTGGAGGAAAGAGACTGAAAAGCAGTGGAGAGCTGCTCTCGGCGGGGTTGTTAAGGGTGGGGCCCTCCTCTGAGGGAAAGGAAGACACGGGAAATAGGAGCCAGCCAGCTGTCCAGGAGCCCGGGGTGCGGGGGAGGCGAAGGAGCAGAAAGCTCATCCCTGTGTCTGGATGCAGGATGAAGGGAGCTAGGGGTGGCCTCCCTGTGGCTCTGGGTGTGGCTTAGCATCGGGGCTGAGGGCCACCAGACTCCACTAGACCTTGGGGACCCCAGGAGCAGACCAGGAGGCCATAGCGCCCGTCCCTGCAGAGCTCTCTGACTGGTCGGCAGTGTCTCGGAGTCTCCCCGGGGCTGGGCCCTTGGCACTGCCCCATCAGCAGTGGCTTTCAGAGCAGTTGGGGAGCAGCTTCCTGCCTCGTTTGTGCCCACCTGACCAGGCCTCCTCCCAAGTGTCGAGGGTCCCTGTGGCTGGGGTGACTCAGCTCGTGGATACTCCGGGCTGGGCTCTAGGTAGCGAGTGAATCCTGAGATCACCACTGCTGGACAGGATGAGCTGAACTGAGCCTGCAGCTGGAGCTTTCAGGGCCCCTCTCCTGCCCACCTGCCCCCCAGACCAGCCCCATAATGTCATCTCTGTGGACCAAGGGCCCTGGAGCTATTGGCCGGAGCTCAGCTGAGTAACCACCTGCAAGCCCGCAGGGTGCTGTGGGTTGGTGCCCATCCGAGCGTCCTACACCGAGCCGGGACAACCTTCCACCAGGCTGCTTTGCTTCTCTCTCACTCCAGGAGGCAAAAGCCAGAAATCAAGATCCTGGGGGGAATGTGCTCCCTCCTGAAGCTCTGTGAGCAGAACCTTCTGGGCCAACTTCTGGCAGCTCCAGGATTCCGGGCCCTGACAGCACACCCCAAGCTCTGCCTCCACCTCCACACAGCTGCTTAGTTTTCTCCAGGTTTCCTCCCGGCCCACCCAAAATCCAAGGAGATCACATCTTGAGGCCCTTAATTAATTTTATCTACAAAGATACTTTTTTCAAGTAAGGGGCCATTGTGAGGCCCCAGTAGACGTGGGTGGGGAAGAGCGTTATGCAGCCCACCACAGACGCCATAGCAGATGACCCAGCAGGGACTCAGGCGGGCTGCCTCCCGTGTGTCCTGTCCTCATGGCCCTTGGTGGCCTTGACCACTCCTGTGCCCTGTGACCTCATCCCCACGCACACGTTCCGTCACCTCCTAGGAGACGGTGCCAAATGCTGGGCTCTGCCCTCTCTTCCTCGCTGGGCTCCAGTCTGTGAAACCAGAGAAGATAAAGGAGGCAAACTGAGGCGTTTCCCCATTGTGAAGCAGGCACTACGGTGAGGCCATGAGGTCCAGGCTGGGACTGAGCTCAGAGGGGGTCACAACCCTGCTCACGGACAGTGGAGAGACAGATCCCTGTCACCGGCGTCTTCACACCAACAGCAAGTGTCCTGGGAACAGGGATTCTCTTAAATCAGAGGAAGGGAAATCTATTCTCCTGGTCACTCTCCCTTCTGCCTCCCGTGCATCGTGTTTCCTGTCTGTCTGATGTCACAAAGCATTTGTGCCTGTTTGGGGACTTTATGTCAATGGAACCATTCGTTATGAACCTTCTGTGTCTGGCTGTTGCTGCAAACTGTGAGATTCATCTGTGCTGTTTGTCTAGAGCCGAGGTCTGTTCTTTCCCGCTGGTAATAATACTCCCTTGTAAGGACATGGCATGGTCGATATGCCTGAGGTGTTTCCAGTTTGGGGAAACTATAAATAATGCTCCTTTGAATGTTCTTTCTCAAATCTTTGATATGCATTTCTCGGGGAAATACATTTGATGTCAAATTGCCTGAGAGTATGCATAGAATAACAAGACTTAGCCATGCAGGGGTTGGGGTGGGGAAGGGCGGCCTTTGACCCCAGGAACCCGTTCAGGGTCTGCTGGGGGGGACCCAGCCCTGAAGGGTTACAGCTGTCTTCTCACCAGAGCTTTGAGCCCTTGGGTGTTCCTCTTCCTGCCTTTGGGCCAGGGCCAGTGTCTGGGAACTGTTCCAAAGCTGAGAGACCCTGAGCTAAGGCAAACAAAGGGACCGAGAAACACCAGCCTGAAGGGGAGCCAGGACCAGACAGACCTTCCAGCCCTAGCTTCCTAGCTGTTCCACAGCCACCTGCTCAGAGAAGCCAACTGCCTGCACCTCCCTCCCTTCCTCTCCTCCTGCTCCACCAGGTCCCCAGCAGCCAGGACTGAGGGCTATGAGCACCCCTGTGGTTCCCACCTCAGGGGAAATGATCCCATCCGTGCATCATGGGTAGACCCCACTTACAAGAGAAATGCAGTTTCTGATGACTGAAATTATGTTTAAGATAATGTTAGTTAAATATGTACAAACATAAAACTAGATGCACGTGCCTTATGCAGGGAGCTCTTTTACAACCATAAAGCTAAATTTATAAATGAAATAAAAACAAACTGCAAAACCAATAAACTTCAAATTAACAGCATTAATTTAATGGGACAAATGCTGTTGTTTTCCTGAAACTAAATCAGGGCTCACAGCAGGACCCCAGCGCAGCCTGCTGCAGGTGTCTGGAGTCTTCCTCGACTTGGTCCTGTGCTGGGGGAGGATGCAGCTCTCCCCCAACTTCTCCTGCTTTTGAAGCTGTCATTTCTGCAAGTAGGCACACCCCACTCTGAGCCTGGGTTTGCTTGTTGTCAAATGGGGAACATCCTAAGACTTAGGAAAATGAAGCCTCCAATGCATCCTGGGCAGGCAGCAGAGCCCCACACTTGCTTGCATGTGCTGCTCTCCCATCCTGAAACTCTTGGTAGTTGGTAGTTAGTTAAACAGGGGGTTGTGCATTTTCATACTGCTCTGGGCCCTGCAAATTATGTAGCGGCTCCTCTGAATAGCACAGAGCCTGGTATGCAGTTGGCACTCAATAATTGTTAGCACCTGTTACTGGTTCCCCGTCCTTATTGCTGAGTGCTGTCTCTCAGTGTTATTTTGCTCTGAAGACAGTTTTGTCTTCCTGTTTTTGATAGGGGTTGGAGAGGCTGCCTCGTGTGTCTAATGGTATTTGAGTGATTCTTGGAGCCTTTGCGGGGAGCGAGATGTTGGGAAGGATTAGTGGAGGGGTCACGTGAGCAGGCAGACCCCGTCCGCCCCAAGCCCAGCCCCCAGCCTCAGCCCTGAGTCTTTCAGGCTGATGTTCAATCACTTTTATCGTAACTGTCGCTAGATGGGGCCGGGCGGAATACTGCTATTTTCTTGAAACCACTTAAGCTGGAGTTTAAGGTAGCAGGTTATGGAGTTGAAGACACCTTAATGGATTAGAAGCTCATATGGAGTTGCTAATTTAATTTCCTTTTTTATTGCTGTTCTCTTACAAAAAGCACAGATAGCCCTTTTACCAAGAGTGAGATATTAATAACCACAGCATTCTGCAAGAGCAAAGAAGGGCATTACGATTTTGCAAGGTGTCCTTATTTGTCCCTGACTTCCCAAGGCTCTGTGGCAGGCGCAGACGGGGAAATACCCATGGGACTAACTGCTCCGAGTTCTAGGAAATGGAAGCTGCCCTGGGCCGCTCTCACTGAACTCAAGCAGCTTCTTCACCTGCCCGGAGAGACATCCTGGGCCTGCTGTGTTCCTGCAGCCTCACAGTAAGAGGAGCATCAGGGGTCATCAGCGGCCAGCAGCCCCTGTCCAGCACCTCTGTCCTGGCCTCCCAGCTTCTGCCATCAGATGTCCCAGGGGGCCCTGACCCCAAACTGCTCCCTCCTCAATCAGGAAGTCCCCAGACCCAGTGAGCCACACTGTAGCTGTGCAGGTCCCCAGGTCCCCGGCGTGGCGGTAAGATTCTAAAGCTTGTGTTTGTCCCGTTGTCTCAAACGCGGCAGCCACCCACTCCGTGTGGCCACCGAGCACCTGAACCACAGGCAGTGAAGGTGTGCCACAGGTATGTAAAATACATGCCGCATCTTGAAGCCTCACATGGAAAAAGAGGGTGAATTATGTCCCTGGCTTTTATACCGATGACCTGTTGAGATAATGTTGCGATATATTGAGTTAAATAACTATTGAAATTTACATTTACCATGTCCTGTAGCTGCTGGGAAACATACATTAGATATGTAGTTTGTGTCCTGTTTCTAGTTCTGGAGAAGAGAGGAACCAAAACAGGAACTTACAGGCGTGGCTGTCGCCAGTATCATCAGGACGGCAAAGACTGGATTTTCAGGGACACCCAAGTGTGCAAGTCCTTCGCGGGGCTGGGTTTCCAGATGCTCCTCTGAGTCTCTCTATGACACGGGAGACGCGGTCACAGATCCGCTGCCATGTATGCGCCAGTAGACACCGCTTGCAGTATCTGTTGCCTTTAGTGCTAACATGACACACTCGCTTGCAGACTAATAAAATCGGAGGAGTTATTATTCCTGTAAAGCGCAAACATATCTGAGGTACCCACTTAATGACACTATAGAACAAATTGCTTTCAATGACACTTTTTAATTGGACTGAACTAACAGCTTCGTAATATGTTGCAATAAGAATATTAGGATGATTAACAGATCTGAAAACTCTCGCGAAATTAAATGATTAAACATAATGCTGACTCAATGCACAGGCCACGTGGATTAATCAGTTGAGGGCCTCGGCAAAGGATGGCGTAGCTAAACACGTAGCACGATGCGCACACGCCTGGCTTCCCGCCCCTGAGTGCCGTCCACCGCTCCCTCCCCGCTGCTCCTCGGTGAGTGGCTCCTTCTGCCAATCCAGGAATGTGCTGGGGCTTTAGCAAGTGTGAGTGTTACGTGCGCTGCTGCTTCTAGGAAAACACATATTCCTGTGGCTATGAGCTTCCCAAAATGGCCAGGCAGTTCTTTCCCGGTCCTTGCTTTGAACTGAAATGGAAGTTTAAAGGGCAGAAATCATAATTCTGGCTTTCAGTCTGATTATAGAACTGACCTTCCTGCCTTCCTTTCCTTTCCGATGTCTGTTTCCCCATTAACCCCCTCATCTCGGCGTGTCCGTGTTCCCTGGGTAATCCAGCAGACTGTTTTTGCAGTGCTGGGGACGGAACCGTGGGCTTCACACGTGCTCGTCTTACGCTCGACCACTGAATGCGCTCAGCCCAAGGTCTGGATTCTAAAGCAGCGTGGCTAAAGCTAGCAGCTCCAGGGAGAAAGGGAGGTGTGTCCTGTGTCCCTCGTTCTCTCCTCCACCACTGGCCACCGAGCCAGCTCCCTGCACGCGTCCCTTGGGTGACCTAGAAAACTGAGTGACGTCCTCACAAAGCTGCCCACACCTGCGCAGGGACCGCACGTGCCCTTTCCTTTCTGATCATATACATCTTTCGTGCCCAAGTTGCAGTCATAATTAGTTGCATAAAAATTCAAAATACGATTCAGGCTGTTATGAGAAAACATGAAAACAGTGGAAAATTTTGTTTCGCTCTGTAATAAAAACTCTTGAGGTCTCTGTTACGAACAACAGAAGGGATCCTGTATCTCATTAAAGATAAAATTCAATTCAAAGCAAAATCTCACTTGCTAGACTTGATGCTGAATATATTTTTTAAAAAGAAAAAAAAAAAGAGGCAGAGCTGCTCATGGTAAGAAGTTCAGAGCAGATCTGTGCTCTGTGCTGTCTCTAGCCTCTGCTGCCCTGTAACCTCCTCCGGGCCACTTGCTAGGCTAAGAATTTTGTGCTTCCTAAGCAGGAGGGGCCAGAAGCCCAGTAGAAGCCATCTTTTCAAATGAAAATAGATTCCCCACACAGAAGCACCTTTTGTAGCCATCATGTGGGAAAGAATACAGTGGAATTCCATTAGGACAGTAGCCCCTGAAGCATAAGTCTGTTTTTGAAAAGTTCCCGACAAAGTGCTGTAATCAGTCTCAGTGGCTTTAGTGTAATCACCTACCAAGGAACTAGATTCATCTTCCCCAGTCTGGCCAGTTCAGAGCCGTATAGAGGAATGGCATCCCCGCGGTTACCTGGGAGACCGAGAAAGCTCTTCCAGGCTGGGGAAGGCGGAGTGTCCTCCATCTGCAGCCACTGTACCCGATCTGGTTCAGCCCAGGTCTGCAAGCTGAGCTCATGAAGCAGGTCTAGCAGGGCTCGAAATTATCCTGTAACCTCTGTGCAGAAAACCGAAACTTTGAGCTCCAGGGAAGGGAATGAAGCTTTCCAGAGCCTCCCCATCCTGAAGACCCAGCCCATGGTGAAGGACTGAATCCACCCTTTCCAGAGGGCACAGCCCGACAGGCCCACGCCAGCTGAGTTAGCTTTATGTGACTGTGACAAAAACGCCTGAGGGGAGAATCATCTTGAAGGAAGGAGCCCATGGTTTCAGAGGCGTCAGTTCATGACCACATGGCCCTGTCGCTCTGGGCCTGTGGGGGCAGAGTATATCACTTTGGAAGCACATGGTGGAAAAAATCTGTTTACACCAAGGTGGCCAGCAAGCAAACAGAACGGAAGGGGCTTGGGTCCCAGTGTCCCCTCCCCGGGTGCACCCTCAGTGACGACCAGGCCTTTGACATCTAAGGGGATATTTAAGATCTCAACCCTAACACCTGCTCCACCTGAGATCCAGCGTTCAAGTGCTTCTGGGCCTTAGGGTGGGGGCTGTAGGCTGCCACACAGGAGCGCGCAGGGTAAGATGGTCTCACTTCACAGGGTCTCACCCCCACATCACCACCAAAACACCAGTCAGAGCCTCGCCTCCGCAGACCCCCTTCCTCACTTTTCTCTGGGACAGAAGCGCTGAAAACATTAATTTGTCGACACCCTGAAAGCCGTAGGCCTGAGCCAACACGGAGAGAAGCAATCGAGACTTTGTCATCAGAGGAGGCGGACAGCCCCAGTGTCCTATCAAATTTAGTCTGGAATATATTCGCCATTATCGTAACTGTGCCCTTCAGTCGCCAATCCGTTTCAGCGATAGAGCACTAATACATTCAGTGGTTCAGTCTCTTTATGGGGAGGATGGGATCCCGGTGCCCCTTGACAGAAAGAGAATAATAGCATAATGCAACAGAACATTTTTGAAATGCTAATGCACGCTCCCTGCAACTTAATTTTATTTTTTTCTTATTGGCTTTTTTATATGACATTTCACAGTCCTATAGCCTCAGTAGCTAGATCAGCGTCGTAAAAATGACAACACAGTGATTCAGGGAGGAGAGTCCATCAGAGCGAAATGGAGGGTGTGTTTTTAAAGTATCAGTTTAGCACCTCTTACCTGGGGTCAATGTTCATTCTGAATACATCATTAAAGCTTCCTGTTAAATCTCTCGGACGGGGGCTGTGCTCCTCTCCCCGTCTCCCTGTTGGATTAGGGAGATAATGAGGCGAAACCCTGCAGAAAGGGCTGTGGTACACTCTCGTGTTTTATTGAGTTTGAGGATACTCAGGAAGGCTGACCTGAATTAAAGACCCGGCGAGGGAAGGAGAAGAGCCGGTGTGGGTGCAGAGGTTTCCGTCCGGAAGTTGGGAGTCGGCAGTGGATGCCATCACGTTCTAGCCCTCCTCTCTGCCGGCTTTACAAGCTCAGTGCTCACCAAACCAGCGTCATGGAAGTCCGAGCTGCAGTCCGCCCTGCAGCCAGCAACCCAGTGCGATGAGAGAGGACACACGAACTGCCTTGTAAACCTCTGCAGACCTCAAAGTCAGCTCAAAGGCAGACCAGATGAGCAGGTCCAGCAGACTTTGGACGGAGCAGGGCAAAGGAGTTGGACCAGAGCATCAAGCAGAAACGAGCCCGAATTTGTTATTGCTGAGGTCTGGGAAACCACTAAGCAAATGTATCCCTGGGCTACGCCCCCAGGCCCACAAGTATGAATTTTTAAGAACTCATCCCTCCTCTTCTTTCCTGGTCGCTATGAGACCCTGGGACGGCAGTGCTTCTGAGGGCCTCCTTTCCGTTTCTTTTGGAAGTGATATCTGTTATTTCAAAGTAATATGTGCTAATTTTATACAATCTCATGTAAGAATTTGAAAGATAACCAAATCCCACTGCCCACACATCTTCAGGCCTGAAGGCAACTCTGTAGATCATTTTCTTTCTTTCCTGCATGAATAAACACCAGTGTAGGTATTTCTGTGACCTGGGATTATTTTGCAGTCTGCTTTTCTTTCTTAAATCTGTATCAAATCAGTACATATAGATTTGCCCAGCTCTTGCCAGTATTTGTATGATACTTCGTTTGGGGCCAAAACAATGTATTTTGCCAATCCTCCAGTGGGGGGTACTTGGGTTAATTTTTCACTACCTCAAATTATGCTGCAGTTGGTATCATCGGTCAAAGACATCTTTGCTGTTTTGTGCAAGTACACTGGTGAAATCAAAGGAGGCTTCCTTGAAGGGTCTGATTTTGCAAGTGGTTGGCATCTCCTCCAACACTCATGTCTATGTCTCGTGATTAGGAGGAAAAAAAAACCTGTCTTTTCATCCCTGTCTTGGGAAGAACAGAGAGGCAGCCTCCCTCCTTGGATGGTGCTCGTTCCAGGGCCTTTGTGGTGGTTCATCTGCTCTGCCCCAATTACCTGGCTACCCCGGAGTCTCAAAGTGCAGACACCTTTAACACTTGAGGAGGATGGCCAGTTGGTTTTTTCGGGAGCTACTACAATAGTGCCTAACTTTTGATTTGAGATCCTTGGTTGTCCCTTTTGAGTAGATGGCCAGTGCTAGAAAAAGCAAGTCCTTCCCCACGTTGATGCAGAGCCAGCTGATCAACCTTGCTGTGCTTTTCTGCTCAGCCTGCGTGTGTCACAGACACCTTCTCAACACAGCCCATCAGAGCTGGTCACCATGGCGAGGGCCCCAACCCCTACAGGTGTAGCAGACTGGCAGAGAAGAGAGGGGCATCAGGGCAACATCTGCAGTCCCCAGGTTTCACAGACTGATAATCATTTTTTACAAAAACTTGTGAGTTTTGGAGACTGCAAGTTCAAGCTCAGCCTGGACAATTTAGCAAGACCTTGTCTCAAAGATAAGATAGATGATAGATAGACGGACAGACAGGAAGGAAGGCCTAGGGATGTAACTCAGTGAAAAGGGCCTAGGTTCAATCCCCAGTACAGAAAAATAAAAAAGAGTTGCAATTTAGCATTGCCAAGTTTTTGTTTACTACCACCAAAATGTCAAATAAAGCACAGAATTCGGAAAGGTGAGGTCCAGGCTAAACGAAGGACCCCTGGAAAATTACAGTGACAGCAGAGCATTGTGGGCACACCGTGCACACCTTAGAGGTGATGTCTTGCACAGGAGCCACATTGCAGGAAAACACCTGGATGCCAGGCTGGACTTCCCAACTCTGTCCGGAGACCAGCACCTCGGTCTGCACACACTGCTGAGCAGAGAGAAGGACCATCCACCCAGCCACGCCTACTGCCCTAGGTGTCCAGTGTTTGGTACTTACAGGGGGGCCACGCGGCAGGCAGCTGCAGGCACAGAGGGGACACAAGGTGAATTAGGAAGGACAGGGCAATGTGACCTTTACTGTGATCTTGACAGAGGCCACTCCTGAAATACACAAACCCCAGGGTGACATCTGATTGATTCTAGAATTTAAATGGTTGATTTGCAGATGAAAGATTTTTAAAGTACAGGCACAGCCTCCAGGGCTCATGACCTGATCTAGGAAGCTAAATACCCAACACAATCTGGAGCAGAGTTAGGGGGCTCTCCATACCTCAGAGGCGCTGCGGAGTAGAAGCTTGGGCCGTTGGCAAAACTACTGGGGACAGCGAGAGGCTGCTCCTCAGAGAGGGCCCTCAGCTCTTCACATCCCAGACTCTGCAGTGAAATTTGGAGCCTGGGAAAGTTTGCCTCTGTGCCTCATGACCTGCATTCTATTAGCTGCTGCTCTGTTCCTAGGACTCCCTTAGCTCTGCCCCCAGCAAACGCCCGCCCCTCCCCAGAGGATAGGATCTAGCAGTCTCCTCCCTCCTGAGTGCCACCAACCAATAGCACTGTGGCCTGAAACAAACCTTCGTTGCTGAACTCGGGTCTCCATTGGCAGCAGCGCGATTCGAAGTCCTCCCTGACCAAGGGCACCCCAGGCTCCACTGGAGCCACGATGCTTTCCTTGCTCGCGCCAGCCTGGGCACCAGTGGGAAGGATCCACTCGAAAATCTGGGTTCTGTATTTGGCCTCATCTTCCCCGTCTCTGAGACTTGCAAATGCTCTGTGCCCAGGCTCCCCAGGGATTGAAGAACCCTGGAAGTGAACGTGCTTGGGAAGAAAGGGTGGTCCTCACTGTCACTGGCTGGCTCGCCTCAGCCCCCGCCTTGCCCCTCATCCTCCTAAGCCAGAGCTCAAGGAGAGACGCCTGAGGACTCCAGAGAACACAGTCCACAGGCCCTGCGCGGGCCCCGCCCCTCACCCCACCCCTCCGGAAGTTGCTCCAGGCTTCTCCTGCCTCCCCTCCCCTTGCGGATCGCCTGCTCCCTTTTTCTCCCCTCACTCTTCTCCCCGCCTTCCCCTGCTCCCGGGACCTGTGGAACACATAACCCCCTTCTTCCTGCTCTGCTGTTCCTCTCTCCCGAGGCAGTTCTGAGAGACAGATCACAGAGACTCCAGGTGGAGAGGGTGCGGACAGGAGCCACGTGCCCAGTGGGACCCTGCGACTTGTGGGGACCTCCCTGCTAGAGAAGGGACACGCCCACCCCCTTCTGGGTCCCCTGAGAAGCCCAGAGGAGCATGACTCTCCCAAGGCTGAGGACACCTGGCAAGGGACATAGGACACTGTTCTAGGGCAGGCATCCCTGGGACCGATCCCACTGCTGGGGCCGCCCCAGGCTGAGCCCAAGGAGGCCCGCTCTGATCCCCCAGAGGGTGTGCCCAGCTCCCGGGACACCTCCATGGGCAAGCAGAGGACAGGAGTAACAGCTGTCCCTTTCTCTCTGCTGCCAGGGGGTCCCTACTTCTTAGTACAGGCCAGGCAGAGGTAGGCACCTCAGAGAACAGAGGAGTTCTGCAGCCTCTGGCTCTCAGAGATCTGTGCTACACCACTCCTAGCCCCATCTTCTCTCTCAGGTAGGAGCTGCTGGGGACAGCAGACCTAGGGGAAGGTAGTGAGGCAGAGGCTGCTGTGTAGACCCTGCCAAAGCCAGACAGGCCCTCAGCCCCGGGGCACTGGTCCTTAGGGGCCAGGCCATCTTCACAGCCACACCCGTCTATTGGGTGCGCTCCCCTGGGCACTGCCCACTGTGTGCAAGGAACTCCCTGGGCCAGTGTTTTGGAGCGGCACAGCCGTCCTTCCCACAGCTCTCTGGCTCTTCTGTAGAACCCCGGGAGCAAGGACACTCGTGTGTATCTCCCGAGCTCTTGTCCCCAGAAACTGAACCCCGCAGCCATGGCGATGTGTGTACCGTGTGGCCGGGGTTCCCCAAGTTTGCCCACAGGGGCCCACACCTGGGTTCTGCCGTTCCGCATGCTCAGAGCCCCCTGGGCAGTACGGGGAGGGCTTACTGTGAGTGGTGATGAGACGGGCTGGGGCCACAGATCATGGCAGCCCGGAGCCCCCTGAGCCGGACGGTCGTGGTGCACTCACGCTTGCGGAGGGCTTAGACACCTCGCTGTGGACCTGGGCCTGGGGCAGCGTGATCAGGACTTGTACGCCGCTGCCGTCCTTTAGGGCGGATATGTTCTTGTTGGATTCCTGTAATGGGCCCCTTCGCTTGGCTGGGAGGCAGCACACAGTCCCAGCTGCTCGCCGCAGCACAGTAAGGCCTCTGGGAGTGTCCCCAGCCTCCGTGCCGGGGCAGCAGGCTCAGGCAGGGCCCTGAGCTCAGGTGTAGCTTTGCCGCCTCCCAGCTGAGGGGTCCTGAGTGTTCCCTTCCCCCTGCAGGCTAACCCCAGCCCCTGGAGGAGTGGGGTGAAGTGCCCCTCCGATGGGATCTCCACACAGGAGCCTGGAGGACCCAGGAAACTATGACTTGTGCATCCCATCTGCTACCACCCCAGGCTCCTAGCTCTTCCCCTGCCCTCCTGTATTCTCCTGTGCCCTCTTCCTCTTCATTTGTGTTTACTGCTTATGTGTTGGTTGGCTCAGTGCCACCCATGTGAGGTGCCAGGAGGCAGCAGGAAACCAGGCAGAGACAGTTCCTGCCATGCTTGACCCTACCCACTACCCCAGTGCACCCAGTTAAGTGCTCCTTTCTCAGCCGATGCTTTCCCGCGTTGGGTGCCACCCATCTGGTCTCCCCAGAGCCTGGCACGGGGCACCCTCCTAAGACTGCTGCCCGACCCAGTGTGCAGCAGGAGAGTGGTGGAGGGTTAGCCTAGGAGCCTCAGGAAGGAACAGGGAGGATAGGGGAGGGGTTTCCAGGGCTGAGGGTGAGCGTCCAGGACAGGGGGCTGGAGTCAGGAGGCCTCAGAGAGGCTCTGGTCTGCACTTATGGGAGTGCAAGGGAGGCTGAGCCCAAAGGCTTGGGAAGTAGGTGACCAGACCCAGGGCCCAAGAGTCAGGAGGCCCAAGGGACCAGGAAGAATGGTGCAACTAGGCCCAGGAAAGGGGAACCAGCAGGGCGAGGATGAGGTGAGGATGAAACGGGGCGGTCTCAGTCAGGTTACTTCCCCAGCCGCAGCTCCCACGACTACTGCCGGCACCGGGACCTACGAGAGGAGCACCCAGCCTCTGTCCACTGAGCCGCCCTCGGCAGCCCAGTTTTCCAGAAGCCTCCACTTCCTGATGAGCCAGAGTAGTCAGCCACAGAAGGCTGGGGTGGGCCGCTGGGCACAGATGGGGTCACAGTGGGCAGGAAGGTCACCTCAGGGGCACTCCGGGCAGTCTGATGTCAGGCAGATTGACAGCATGGTACTAGGGGTGGAATCAGGGTCTCGGATAGGGCAGGAGGGCAGGCAGTGGGGTGGTGGACGTCGGCACAGGATGCTTCCGTGGTGGGTGTTTAAAGCAGCCACACACTCGGGGATAATCCCAGACCCCCGAGGCCTTGATCCTGAGCCAGAGCCTCTTTGTACAGTGGGCAAAGATACGCAGAGCCTGGGCCCAACCCAGCTTCCCCACAGGTTTACAGCGGAGGGCCAGCATCCCCACCGAGGCCTCCTACTGGGAAGCCGTTGGTCAGCAGCTGACTGCTGCTCAGGGCTGCTCCGACCCTGCAGCTTTTGTGGCCTGATGAGACTGTTCAGTTCTCACATCAAAGGCACCCAGCAACTGCCAGCAAAACACAAGAGACCGAGAGAAAACAGGATCCTATTGCCAGGACACATAGACTGTGCCAGGGAGATTGGTGACAGAACACAGTCCCGGGGGCTGCTGAACCGGAAGACCCACTGTGGAGTTTGTTCTGCCACCATCCTCTCTGGGCCCCCATTTTCCTGTCCTCCACAATGAGGGTACCCTGCAGGGCTGTCGGATGGCCTGCCTGCCTGCCAACCTCTCCCTACTGCAGGCCTAGGAGTCCCTAGCGGGTGAGGGACTGCTGGCCAGTTCTCCGAAGTCAACCCTCCAGGTAATGTTGTGAAACTTTAGTTTCATTCCTGTTTGTGTGACGGCTGGAATTTCTCTTTGACTGTGGCTTTGTTCCACACAGGTGCCTTAGCAGAGTCCAGGCCTGATGCCACCCTGAGTGCTCTTAGAGGCAGGGCTCGGCGTGGGCAGAGCAGGGACTTAAGGAAAGCCGAAATCCCAGAGCTTCCACGGTGACTTTCCACCAGCTTCCCTGGTTTCACAGTTGCATAATGCTGAGGCCCCGTGTGAGGGTGGGGAAGCCTAGGACACATTCAGAGAACGACCAGGAGGGCAGACTGGCTCAGAGCCGGGGGAGTCAAGGCTGGAAATAAGGTGTTAGCGGACCTTGAATGCCAAGCCAGGGAGCTCACTCCCTTCCAAGACAGGAGCGCTGCTGCCCTGTGGAAGGGTTCCCAAGGAGACAGCGCTGGACGGGAGATGGTCCAGCGCTGGACGGGAGATGGTCCAGCGCTGGATGGGAGATGGTCCAGCACATGGCGAGGTCCCACCGGGAGCTGCAGTAGAGGGGATGAAGAGAAAGGGGTGACGCACGAGGGTGTGAGGGTTGCGTGGTGGTGACTGCGAAGCTGGAGAGAGGTGTATGCGATTTGGGCTCGATCATCCCTAAAATGGGCCAGGGCCTCACTCGGCCGGCCGGCAGACCCCGCCTGGCCCAAGGCAGGCTCCACGTCAACACCCAGAAGCAATTTGCCGTGGGTCAAGATGTGGCTATCTCCAAAATGACAGATGGCAGAGGAGTCTTTGGAAGGGAGATGGGAGGCATTTTTCTTACCCAGACTTGTCCTTGGATAAGGCGTGCATTACAGGGTCCTCTCTGAAAGATAAGTTAAAGAATCTACCTAAGACACAGAGAGAGATAAATATCCCTACAAGGAAAAGAGATTTATCACATCCCAACATTTTAAAACTTTGCTGCCATGCATCTTGCCTGACACCGCAAAGGTTTCAGCGAAAGCAAAAGAATGGTTTCCGTGTCATAGCTATGACCGTGGTGATACCGCTTTTCCGAGGCGAGGCCTTCCCTTCTCCACTCAGCTCTCCGCATGGAGACCTGGCCACCACGAGGCACAGCAGGGGAACCAGCAGGCCCAGGGTCTGCAGGAGAGCACGATGACTAGGCCTTGCAAAGATGGGGGTGAGGAACAATGAGGGGCCCCCCAGCCTCCCACAGGGCACTCCCCCAAGACATGGGTTACTTAGGACAGAGCGCTGTCCGCGGTGTCAGCACTCATGCCTAGGAAAGGATACTTTCAGCAAACAGAGACAGGTGCCTCTGTTAGCGGCATGGAAGTCACAGCATTAGCAGGGTCTTGCTCCTCTTCACACGTCAGGTCCACGTTGCTATGTGTCCATCCACACCCACGCCCCGCGCACCTTCTGTTACACAGCTCCGAGTCTCTGCCCCCTC